AGGCTAATGAAATATCAGGGGCATATAATTGCTTTGTAGTTTTACCCCACTTTTCTGGCAAAAAAAAAACACTTAATGGCTGCCATATCACTTCCATATTGGGAAGAAGAATTTGGAAACACAGCCACAGTAAGGACAACCCTTGCCTATTTGACCCTAATTTTTTTCCTGACCTAGGACCACTGAACCCTGGCCTGGATGGCTCAGGATAGCCCAATCATGGCAGATCTCAGAAGCTAAGCAGGGTCAGCCCTGCTTAGTACCTGGATAGTTTCCATGTGTGTAGTGTAGCCAGGAGATCCTACGATTTTCTGGCAGCCACAAGTTCCAGCTTTTTAGCGTTATCCAGAGTGTACCACAAGAAGGCAAGCTAGAATTGCACCCCAGGATACTGAATAACGGTCTACTCCAGGGCTCGGTCCTTGCTCTAGTTCTTTGCAATCTGTACACCTTTGATGTTCCCAAGACAATATCCAGGATATTTTCTTATGCTGATGCTATGGCGATTGTAGTAAGGCACAGATCAATTGAAAGGACCTTGAAATGTTGGCTGACTACTATTGTAAATGGTGGCTTATCCCAAGTCCAGGAAAAACAGAATGCTCCTGTTTCCATCTCAATAATAATCTTGCCAACCGTGAACTGAATGTCTACCTTAATGACAACCAACTTACACACAGCCATACGCCTAAGTGCCTTGGCATTACCCTGGACAAGACCTTGAGCTATAAACACCATCTTACCAATGTAGCAGCAAAAATACGCATGCAAAACAACATTCTCCAAAAATTATGTGGTACAACTTGGGGTGCATCTGCTTCAACACTTAGATGTTCAGCTTTTGGGTTGCTGTATAGTACTGTGGAATCTGGTACTTCAGTGTGGCTCAACAGGCCCCATGTCCACACACTTGATGTCCAACTCAATACAACAATGAGAATCATCAGCGAACGTATTACACCCACTGCAACCTATTGGATACCCATGTTGTGCCACATTGCTCCCCCGCATCTCCAAATACAAGATGCTCTTGTTTGTGAATACAGAAAGATAATTGAAAACAGAGAGCTGCCTAGCCACAAAGACATGGTTGATGTGGGCCTATCCAGACAAAGATCTTGTTACCCAGCAATAAGATCTGCACAAATCCTGCAATCACAAAATTTCGATCTAGGAAATGAATGGTTGTAAACATCCCAGGGAAGGGAGCAACTAGAGTCATGAACCTGTGCCATGGCCAGGACTATGGACAGCAGAGCAAGAAAAGCAGAGCCATGCTGAGCACTGTGATTGAGCAGCACATGGATCCAGTGTACCCAAGGGTCCAGAAGGCAGCCATTCCTTTGAGGAAATGGATTAGGAAAACAAAACACATGCCCCAAAGAACAGTAGCAGCAAGCATACAGACTACTACCTTGAGGAAAAGCCATGGAGGATGCTAGGGGAGATGTACTGTAACATTCCACTTAATCCGGTTTCATATATGAATCTACAACAATGCTGCCCCCCCATCAGTGAAGGACTATCGGATACTTGCTTTAAAGACTAGGACACGGCTGACTATCAACACTATGGTTTGTATTCATAAAATTGCTAGAGCTGTGATGGGAACTTTCTGATCACTTCCACAGTTCTCTGCAATTGCCACCACCATGCCAAGCACACACTTGCAACCAATCATAAACCTGACACCCAAAGTGGCATCACTGTTCTATAATGCACACCGGTCAATCAGCTCACAGCTTCAGTGAGTATGCACATGATTGCATAGCAAACTACTTACACAGCAAGTGATTACAATGTGGAATTGGCTGCCAGAGTATATAGCGATGGCCACAGGCACAGACAGCTTTAAAAGGGGATTAGACAGATTCATTGGATAGGTCTATCAGTGGCTACTAGCCATGGTGACTAAAGGGAACCTCCATGTTCAGAGGCAGTAAACTTCTGAATGCCAGTGCCAGGAGACAACATCAGGGGTGTCGAACTCATTTGTTATGAGGGCCGTATCTGACATAAATGAGACCTTGTTGGGCCAGGCCATGTGTGTCATAAAATGTAATGCTAGGTAGCGGAGATATAAATTTTATAAAGGACACAAACACAAAGGGTTTTTTTTACTTAAAATAAAAACATGTTTAAAACATTAGCACTCTTGCAATATTTAGTTTATTTAACAGTGTCTGATAACTGACCCCTCTTGCTCTGAATTATTGCATCAAAATGTCTGTGCTGTTGTAATCTTAAGTATGCTGTTCAGGTGTATATCTGTAAGCTGCAAACCTACAATGACACAGCAGCAGAACTGGAAGAAGAGGTAGAAGACAACCAGTTCCACTGTGGGCCTGATAGAAGCCCTCCAGGGGCCTGATCCAGCCCCTGGGCCGCATGTTTGACACCCCTGCCTTAGCCTTTATGCTCTGTTGCTGGCCTTCCAGAGGAACTGATTGGCCATTGTATGAGACAGGATGCTATATTAGATGGACCACTGGTCTAATCCACCAGGGCTCTTCTTATGTTCCCAGGGTACTAGGCAATAATGTGCAAATTTAAGTGGTAAGAGAAAGATGATTGACCAGCAGCACCGGAATGTGTGTGCTACAACTCTCCGATGACTGCACTCTCTCATAGCCTCAGGTCACATACTCATTGGAAGCCAGAGCTGAACTTGCACGTTGAAGCAGCACAAGCTTCTGTTATCTACTATGAAGATAACCTGCCATTATTACTTATTTATTTTGTCCATTCCCCCCACTCTTATTTTGTCCATTCCTCAAGGCAACATATTGTTCTCTGCTCCCCCATTTTATCCTCCCCTCGATCCTGGGAGTTAAGTGGAGTGAGTGGCCCGAGATCATCCAGTGAGCCTCCGTAGTAGAGCGGGGATTTGAGTCTGGGGCTCCCACATCCTAGTCTGACATTCTAACCACTACACAACCATATGGGCTCCTGTGAGGGTGGGACCTCCAAATGGAAGAAGAGTAGGTTTTTATATCCCACTTTTCTCTACCCTGTGTGTGTAAAGGGCTGTCAAGTCGCAGCCAATTTATGGTGACACCAGCAAAGGGCTTTCAAGGCAAGTAATGAAGCAGAGGCAGTTTGCGATTGCCTTCCTCTGCAGTCTTCCTTGGTGGTCTCCCATCCAAGTACTGACCATGCTTCTGAGATCTGACAAAATTAGTCTGCACCATGCTGCCTCCCCTCTGATTCCTTCTCTACCCCAAGGAATCTCATAGTGGCTTATAATCGCCTTCTCTTCCTCTCCCCACAGCAGGCACCTTGTAAGGTAGGTGGGGCTGAGAGAGTTTTGAGAGAACTGTGACTGGCCCAAGGTCACCCAGCAGGCTTCAAATGTAAGGGTGGGAAATCAAACCCAGTTCTCCAGATTAGAATCTGCCACTCTTTTTATTTTATTTTTAAACTGCCCCTAAGGGCAGTATTTTATTTGAATCTGCCGCTCTTAACCACTACATCTTGCATGATTTTTCTAAACAAGGAGAAATCAAACAAACTGGGCCTCTGTGCACTTGATAATTCACATGGAGCCCCCAACTCATATGGGAGGGTGTCTCCGCTGGGCTGGAACTTGTGCTGCCCCCACACCTTACTAAAAGTGAATCTCAGTGTTTAGCCTTTGTGATTTGCTGCCTAAAAGGGAATACTGGAAATGAATAACTCCCAACATATTCTCTGTGAGACTGATGTAAACAGACTAGGATTGTCATGAGTTCTGAAATGATTAAAAAGTCTTTTCACACAGCTATTGATTCAATACCGAAAAGCCCCTCAGCTTTGTGATCTGCAGCATCCACTTCCCTCAGCCCAGACAGGTCAACTGACAGCTCAAACTTCACACGTTGTGGTTGCAGTTCTCTCAATAAGAGCATTTCTGATCAATTCACAGTAGTTAGGATTCCTAATGTCTTTGTCAATGCTTTCTGCCAATACTATGAACACTATAAATAACATGAGCATTCAGAACCCAGTGGGAGAACCTTTCAATCTTCTGGAACACTCTCCCGCTGACTTAGAAAGTGTCACTATTTACTAAAAGAATGTCCAAGGGAAACCTCGGTGTGAGATGGCTGAACTAGAATCTATCAGGAAGACTGACTATATTAATCCAGGCCTCAACTGAGACCAGGTTTTTCACCTTTACCAGTTAAATTAGTTTCATAAAGTGAGGGAGTATTGTGTCATCACCAATTATTGCTGTCCTGAACCATCACCATGGTTATCCTGTTTACAATGGAGGTCAACGTAGAAATGTCCTTCAGGAATGTTATGACCTTTTGGCCCCACAGATGCATTTTGACTTCAAAACACACACTACCTGTGGGCTGAGGCATCCCTTCCCTTCAAGCATCCGCTCCAGTGAGCTCACTATTCAAGAACATTTACGCCACAATAACCCCGTTCGTTTTCCTGGTGCCGCAAGACTCCTTTGTGTTTCTAGTGTGAACTCAACTCTTAAACCAGATCGTTTTAAAGAGTCAAAGCTAAAACCCACGATTAATTGGGGGGGGG